TGGCAGCCGCCGGGCATGTAGCCGTGTGGCAGGGTGCCTGGGACAGGACAGGCGAGGTGAGGAGGTCTGCGTGACCTGGGCAGTGCTGGAGGAACGCGGGGATGAGCACGGCGGTGCAGAGAGGTGGGGGCACGAGTTGTTTTTAAGGCCGTTATAGCAGCATCAAGTACCTCCCTTGGGAATCCGCCTCCTGTGCATGCAGGCTGGAAATTATTCCCCGTTTAAACATTTAACTGTTCCCTGCTTCGCTGGTGCCACTGGCTGACCAGGGTGTCACCCGCATGGTGCCAGGGCATCCCTGTCAGAGGCACGCTGCAGCGGCACAGGGGGGAAGGCTCGCCCTGCCTTCTGTTTTAGCAGCAATAACATTTCCCCGGCATCTTCTGGATTCCAGCTGCTCGTTTTGCTGCCTTTGCTTGTACAAGAGTTAGAAGAAGAAGTAACCACAGAGAGGTGTTGGGGTCCAAGCATGCTAACCAGCCTGATATTTGCACCTCTTACTTGTATTTGCTGCTTTTAAGATGTACAAAACAGAGCATACACTGTCAGTGCATTCCTGAGCTGCTACTCTGCTCCTTGCAGTGCCTGGAGCAAGCGTGGGGCTGTGGGCAACTGAAAATTAAGGTGGGATGCAGCTGCATAAACAAGTGCTGTTTCAGGGACAGCAGTGTCTGGGGGGCTGGATGGCAGCAGGGCTGTAGTGTGTGTATGAGGGGTGGTGGGGTCCCACCTGGGGTCGGCACCGCTCAGTGCCCACCATGAGCCCTGGCACACCCCAGGACCCCACTGCTGCTGCTGCTGCTGCTCAGCACCTCTCCCTCTGGTCTTGATGGCCTGAAAGGCTGGAGTAAGCAGAAATCACCCCTCTCCTAACACATCACTCCTCCTTGTCAACTTTTACAGTCCAGAACTCACAAGCTTGTCACAAGGGCCTGAGAAATCCCCCTGGGGGACCACTTGCTCTTGCCCTGGATGCCACAGTCCATCCTTTTGGCCTGACACCAGCCCCTGCCTAGCTGTGCTGTTTGGCAGGGACAAGCCACCCTGTTTGAGGTGCTTAGGGAGGTGACAGCCGTTGCTCCATGTCATGACAGCATGCACCGGCCTCACTGGGTCTGGGCCAGGCTTGACAGACTGTACAGCTAGTGTGCTGGCATCCCCGGGGCTGGGTTATATTTGCAACGCTTCCGCAAGAGACTTCATCTTCACCCATGGACCTGCCAAAAACTTTGTGTCAAAAGAGCTGACTAAGCTTGGCAGATGTCCACAGAGGCAGATAGAGTGGCAGTGCTGAAATGTAGCAGCAGGGAAGGGTAAAATCCCTGATCGTAACCTAGGAGGATGGGATGGGATGGGATGGGATGGGATGGGATGGGATGGGATGGGATGGGGTGGGGTGGGATGGAATGAGGTGGGATGGGACACGGTGGGGACTTTAACTGTGCACATTTTGCTCTGGTGCCATCCAGCACGAAGGAAGTGCTTCACCAATATCTTGCGTTTACCGATATCGTTACCTCTATCACCCAACCCTATGAGGAGTCCTGGGGCTGGACAGGCATCTGGCGGGGATGGGTGAGAAGGCACCGCAAGGAAGGCATCTGGATTCAGGATGCTGATGCCGTGTCTGACACCAGCAGGCAGGTGGGGAGTGATGGTGCAGGGTGGAAGTTGCTGTAGGATGAGGTGGGAAATGAGCCCAGGGAGCTGGATGGGGGAACCGGGTCCAGATGTCCCTGGGAAGCGCAGTGGTGAGCCCTCACCTCTGCAGGGGTACCCATGGGGACAGAAGCTGCTGCGGAGGGAGAGTGAGGGCAGTTTTTTGAAAAAGATGACCACAGCTGACGTGCCTTTTGAAATTTCTTTTTATGTGAGAGGCTGCTTTTGCTTGCCGTGGGGGTCCGGGCTGCAGCCAGAGCATGCCGTCATGGGGCAGGTGAAGCTGTGTCCTCACAGGATGGGGACAAGTTTGGTAAGATCTTTCCTTTTGGGGTGCGTTTGCGTGTGAAGATGTTTCTGCCCACCCTGCAGGAAGCAAAAAGTTCCTGTGGGACAACCCACAGATAAAACCCTCTCGGGGTGTCCCTAAATGCCCCCCAACTTGCCACGAGCAGCTGCTGGATGCCCCTGGCCAAGGCAAGCCCTTAGCCAGGAGGCATTGGCATTCCCGCTGCAAACCCATGCTGGGGGGTTCCCAGGGGTGGTCCACTCTCCCAGGGGGAAGCTTGTCATGAGGGTCCCTGGGGAGGGCCCCTCTGTGGGGCTGCTGCCCCCCATGTCCTCCCACTACCTCGTGGCTTTCCAGTCCTCCTCGAGGGACCCGACAGCTTCACGCAGCAGCCACATGGTGGTCAGCGTCTCCTTCCCACCCGTGTCCACGAAGCACTGACCCGCAAAGGCGGTGGTGGCGTCTGGGGGAAGTGCTTGCTGGGGTCTCGGTGGGGCCAGCACCTGTGCTCGCTGGCTGCTTCCCCTTCCCTGAGGTCCTACCAGCCATGTTTCCACCCAGTCAGCCATGCACCCACCCAACCCACATCGGGGCGACCTGCCCTTCCCCAGCGGCCCCCTTGGGCGAGCCGGACTCTGCAGCACTGCACCCCCCCTGCACTTATGCGGTGAGGACCCACCGTGGGCACCTTGGGCTGCCCGGCAGGGATGGGTGCAAAGACGCTGGGTGAGGAGCGGTTGCCCTGTGCCAGCCCAGCACCGTCCGTTAGCCCCACGCCAGGCAGGCACCGCTGCCTCGCTCTGCTTAGCTGCAACAAAGCGTCACCGAGCAGACGTTCCAGCAGAGGAAAAACCCTGCTGACTGCCTGCACGGCTCCCGGTGGCCCCGCGGTGCCATCCCCAAGTGTCCCAGCACTTACTGGAGAACTTGTCCCAGCGCACACTGAAGGCAAAGGTGGGCCAGCCCCCCTCGCCGGGCTGCTGCTGGGCGCCCTTCAGGGGGGAGGCGCGGGCACAG